TGAGGCTCAGTAATTCTGAAAATACATATTTCAATTCATATTTTCATTTCTTAGAATGAAATTTTTATTGTTATTTTATTTTTTGGCTTTATGTACGAATTTCCAACATGAATTTACTTATTTGGTTGAATCCTTTCATTAAAACTTACAGTTTCTAAAAATATTTATAATGCTTTAAACTATACTACGTATTAAGTATATCCTATCTTTAATGTCTAAATGAAAAGTACAGATGAGATGCATACAAGTTCCTGTGTATGAGGACCTTTACTTGAAACATAATTGTACTTTATTAGTGTATATACTTTAAATTTCTCAGAGGATAAAAGTTTTAGAAAATTGTAAAACAATCCAATATTCAGAAATAATCTCAAAGTATACACGAATTAATTGTATAAAATGTATTGTACTTAAATAAGAAGCAAAAAATTAAGTACAGCAAAGAATTTAAATGACAGAAGGTAAAACATGACAATGTAAGAAGCATGATTTTGATACAGACATCATTATACCTGTCCTGCTTGCTGTGGCCAGATGAGAGGAACCCACGCACTGTGTTGCCTATAGCTGCTCTCTTTTTAGCTTCTTTTTCCTTTTCTCTGTACCCACCAGACCCAGTGCTCACCTGATGATCTTGACGACTGTTTCTCTCCCCCTAGAATCAGTATATCAGTAATAAAAAACCAATTGTTTCAAGGGAATATGAAAAATTGGAAATCAAAAAGCAAAGTGGAAATCTGAATCTTGTGAAAATTTACCTTAATACTTAAAAGTTTTATACTCAAATTAGTACTTGTATTTGTTGGAACTGGACTTAAATCACACCGTACTCTTCTATGGGATTTTTCAACAATCGGTGGATCGTCATCTAATTCTAATTGATTTCCAATTGAAAAAGGACGAGTTTGCGTTAACAAAATATCCTCTGTATTGTGCTTCTGACTGGTGCTCACCGAACTCACTGCCTTGTTTTCATTGCAGCATCTCGGCATTGCACATAACCAACTTATGAAAGAGTTCACTTTATAAAATTTCTTTTCACTTACTAAATATCTTTCTTCCCCCTTTATCAATTCAATTGGTATAGAAATTTTATGGAAACTTTTACTATTGTATTACTTTTCATGAAAACAGTTCATAGTTTCTTTCCTTCCTTTCTTTTTTGTTTAGTTAAAATTATTTCTCAAACTATAAAATACTGAATGTATTTATAGTGTACAGAATTTACGATTCTTATGTTCATCACAGATTTTTTCCTTTTTGTTTGGTGTATATATTTTGCTACCTCGAATACTCAATAAATATTTAATACCAAAGAAGTTGAACGATTCTGAAATCAGAAAAAAATAGCCACATACAATAACAATTACTAAAAATATTAATGAAAAGGTATTTATTACTACTGCAAACATTATGCAATGAAATTACATAAATATATATATTCAAAAATTATTA